AGAGGGAGAGGGAGAGGGAGAGGGAGAGGGAGAGGGAGAGGGAGAGGAGAGGAGAGGAAGGAGAGAGAGAGAGAGAGAAAGGACCACAACAACTACTATTACAACTGCTAGCTGGTACTGCTACTGCTATACGGCTACTGCTACTGCTACAGCTACTACAACTACTACTACGACGACGACTACTAGTACTAGTACTACTACCACTACTGCTACTACTACTACTACTTCTTCTACTACTACTACTACCACGACGACTACTACGACGACTACTACTACGACGGAAACGCCCGTGAGACAACATTGGATTCAAGAGACGATCGGTCTGACCAGAAGTGTTTCGAGGCGGAAAATATTTCCCTGGTTTGCCCCTTAGGCGCGCTTCGGTTCACCCGCATGGCTCAGGTAGTTGGTCGAGAAAGGGCAGAATGATGCAGAAAAAAACCAATTCCATCATACCTGGACCCAACTTTGAGTATACCTTGGAAAATTGGAAAATGGAACATGACCCCATAAAAGCAAGTACTTGACTTGCACCCATTTTATGAAGTATTTTGAGACTCCAGATATATATATATATAAAATTATATATATACATATTGTAGTTGTTTTTGTTTGTATTTCCTATGTATTTCTATGTATTTTCCACTTGACATTTCCATGTATTTCCTCATTTTTGGTTGGGTTTTGATTTCATTGACATTCTTTCGATGCGGTGATGTCCAAAGGCTGCAATGAAGTTTGGACCAATTGTTTGCCCTTCCGAATGGGACCCTTTTGGACCCTTCCAAAGGGTTTGGACATTGGATATGACATATGGTAATTAGCATCTCTGGGTATTCAAACTCTTTCCACCACGAAGGGATATGTATGACAGAAAAACTGTATGAAGGTATATGTGTATTTCACGGTGCTCCCCTGCACTCCATTGAGATGCTATGACGTTGCGTGTTGATTCTTAAGGCCAACTTTACACTTCATTGATCAAACGCCGGACTTGACGAGCATCGTTTTGACATTTACGGTGCTGCCTGATATTGGTTGAAGGTATGTATGAACACATCTCTTCCAGGAACCATGTGAGAGACGCTTCGAGCGGGTCTCGTGCAACCTAGTTATGGACTCGTTTTGCGGTTATGGGTTTAGTTCTATGCAATTTTCATGTGGTGTTTTTCCTCCCAAGACGTTGAAAGAAAGGGAACCATGGAAGTCTGGACCTGTTTGTTTTTCTTTCTGGGAAATCCATGCGCTCGAGAGTCATTCGTGGTGATTTGAGTTGAAAAAGCGTTCGTGGTGGAAAGAGTTTGAATACCCAGAGATGCTAATTACCATATATACCTTCATACATAGTTTTTCTGTCAAACACCTGGAAGTATGCTACGAAGTATGCCACGAGTATCCAAAGAAGTATGCCACGATCCTAGACGTATTCCACAAGTATGTGGTATATCTTTTTCGCCCGAGTGGTAGTGTTTCCTTTTTTTTTCATCCGAAGTGGATTCTTTTCGGAATTCCATCGACGGAGACGGCAAGCGGCAGTGGCAGCTGTCAGGAGTGGCGAAAGGCTGTCCACCCTTTCTGACCTCAGTGCCAGCCTTGGTTTTTGGTCGCGCACACTTGAGCAATGCTTTGTGTTCCTGTTAAATGCCAGAAGGTGTTTCTTTGTGTTCCTGTTTTACACTATGTTTTGGTCCGCAAAAGCATTTCTGCAGAGCCTTTGGACCTGCAAAAGCTCATGCAAACAGAAACAGCCCGTGCACACGAATCTAGGGCATCATGTGCAGCACAAGGCAATATTTTAATATATTTTACATATTATATATAGCATGTTCATGAGGTCCAGATCATGTGTGCGGTGTGTTGTTCTCGGAATCCCCACAATTTCGCCCCAGAAAAAGAACAAATACTTGCGCTGTTTTGTTAGGCCCATCCTTTTCCGGTTTGGCATTTGGCTTCCATGTATCGTGCAACTTGCCTTTTTCACCCCAAGATCGATCTCGTTTGATGTTTTTAAGGCTTTCACTAAGGCACCTTGGTAGAATGTGAGGCCTGCCTAACATCAGTTGCATCCACGAAAGCTGGTGGAAGCTTCCATGAATGCTCCCTTTATATTTGTATAGTCCCCACGCAACAAAGAACCAAGTCCTCACATGAAAAGGACTATATACTCTGAGAAACCACAACTGTTGCACTTCATTCATTCTCTTTGAACATCTAGGTCGATAAACTACACCCTGAAGTCATTCTGGAAGTGGAACCTGGCCCCTGAAATGACCATATTCTTCTACAAACATGTGGTTATCCACTTCCATGTTAGTGACTTGGAGTGCTATACTTTTTGCATGATACCACAGTATATATACTAAAGCCCAAACCACACCATTCTTTTTTGCTATTTCAATTGGCATTCAAGGGATTTGCCTGGACAGCCCTCCACCCAGCGTTGAGATTTTGGATTTGTCAAGGACACTGGAAGTCTCCCACGAGGATGTGAACTCGGCCTCCTTTCAGGCGGCAGAGCTCCCGTGTTTTCCACAATATCCAAGATAGACATGAGAGACCCAATAGTAGACCCAATGTCATGTTAGACCCGAAGGATGTCATGTCATGTTCCTCCCACATTTTCCACCCACTCTTTCAAGCACTTTTGAGCTTCCGGCTCCGGGGCGCTTTCGTCGGGGCCGACCAAACACCAGCCCTCCGGAGGCTTCGACCCTGCAATGGCCGAGGCGGCACGGGGGTGGGGGTGGTGCAATCCACGCACTCCACACGACCGATGATGGAACTGTCTTATTTACCACCCCATTCACATCCATTCATCATCATTCATCCATATTTCAATCAACCACCCCGATCGGATCCCCAAGGTATATAAATCTTCCAAAACTTCCACGACGACTCGACTGTGTTGTGCCTCAGAATGGGTCAGATGATGTCAGATGTCGTCCAGGACTCTCAGGGCTCTCTTTTCCTGCCGAAGCGTCCGACCGTGACCCTCGGCGACCAGGCGGGCGGACCGGACCACGGACCGATGCAACGTCCCCGTGCCGCGCGAGCGCGAGAAACACATGGAAAAAGCTGCGGAACATGTGGAGGGGTAGGCCTAGCCGACCCAGTTCTGGCTGCACCGCACGTGCGGGTTTTCGTTCTCTCTAAGGGCTTGCTTGGTGCCCAGCTCGCGTTGAGATTGCTCGAGCCTCAGTCACACATAGTCACTCCAAGGGAAGGCAACAGGCGCAACCAGGGAACCCTCCATTTCTCAGTCATTTTGGAGCACTCCATTTTGTCCTTGTTGCATTTTTGGTGTTTCTTCATTCCATGTGATAATGTGAGAGGTCTATTCCCATCTATTCCCCATCTACATCTTGCCATTTTGATCACCCTTTTCATAAGTCAAGGGGCGGTTTCGGAGGGCGGAGGAGCTGGTGCGGAGTTCGTGTCCCAAAAGCACCTTAGCTGGTGTGTCAGAAATCTGGGCAGTTCTTCCTTCAACACCAAGGGCCTTCGGTGGCACTTGGGAGCACTGCTGGGAAGTACATTGAAATTCCAAACAAACACAGTGGGACGACACCCCCTGGCCCAATATGACGCTCTATTTTCCAGCCTTGCCTGATTTGCCTAGAAACACCTCCCTGCTTTTGAACGCACAGAAGCTTGCGGATTCCAGTGCTTATCGCTCCAAACCTCCCAAACCTCCCTGCATTCAAAACCCTGGGTGACTTCCGTCCAGGTTGGACCTCGCCGGTGACAGCGGCTCGGCACTTGATCCGCTGTGCCAGAGGTAGTACCATGCGATGCTGCAGCGCCACACGTCGTGGTCCCACATAAGGCTTGGCAGCCGATGCTTGGGCTCTTGACAAGCAGGGGTGCCAGTCCTAGGTTTTTTTTTTTTCTGATGAGAGGTGTATCGAATTGAGGAGCTCTTGATTGATTTGCACGGAGAGCCAAGTGTAAGTAAGTGCCCCAACGATACAACTCGTCACCGGCAGATTCTGTGTGGTTTCGAAGCTTCAACAAAAACAGCTGGCAGGCAGGGTGCGGATGCTGGTGTTACCCCAAGTCGACTTAACTGACTGTGCATATTATCCGAGGCCGAAGCATTTGGGCACCTGGAGATTCCCTCCAACGCATCGCTGGACAGCTCTTTGTCACGTGTGGTTTCTTAGGTTCCGAAAAAGGACGGGCGGGCGCCATCCTGCGCCATGGTGCTGTTCTTTTCTGAACGCCAAGGAATGGGACCCAAATTGACATGTCCAGACTTGGCAACGATCCACTACATACCTTTTCATCTGTTATAGAATTTAATGTGTATTAATTAATATAAAATATGAATATCTTAAATTTGACACATGTTCTTTTCTGAGACAGGTCGTAAGTTTGTGCAACACCACCGTGGACCTCATGAGAAGGCTCTTGATTGAGAATGAAAGAAGCATGAGAGAACCTAAGCAAAGAAGAGAACAACTGAGAGAACCCTTTATAAGGACTCACTTCTGCTTTTAGAGTCCTGACAATGTCTGCTGCAAAGGCCCATGGCCGGATCTTTGTTCTGGGTGCTCAGGCAGGCGGACGGAATCCAACCCCGGCGAATGGGCAACACGTCAAGTGCTCCAAGCAATCACTATGAGGAAACGACGTGTCGCGACTTCTTTTTGCAGTGAATCTCAACTTCAGTGCACAATTAGTTTTTTTAGTCCAGAAGGCTGTGCCAGTGCACTTGTGTTTGAGTCTAGTGAGTGCGGATTGTTTTTTGCATATATATTGTACTTTGAAGTTCTAGGTTGAACCGGGCTGTGGGCCCAGAACCACGTCACTGGATCTTCAAGCTTGCTATGATGGTACGGTATATAGATGATATAAATATATTATAGGATGCACGCGAGGTCTCCAATTTCAAGACAGACCTTGATTTCAAGACTTTTGCGGTGAAGCAGGCAGAAGCCCTTGTTTCAATCCGTGGAACAGGGTCTAACAATTGGTTAAACATGTTAAAACAATAACATGTTAAACCATGTACCACGTCGCCTCTTAAAACTCCCCTCATCTTCCAGGAGTCACATCCTGTCGGGCTTCACGAGCCGTCCCGTCTCACACCGAAGACCGTCTTCGGGGCCCCGAACGGGGTTGGGCGCACCGCGTGGTCGCGGGGCAACGGGGTGCCCAGCCTCGGATGGCTCCAGCGGACTCCAGGCGGGCGGCAGCGAGCTTTGGAGCTTTCTGATGCCGGACGGGAGAAAGGCCGAGTCGGGGCAGAACGGCGTCGGTGTAGCCCCTTGGTGCAACGGCGGACGGCGAGCGGGCGTGGTGGATCGAGTTGGTGTGGCCCCTTCTTCGTTTTTTTTTTGGGGGCTCTGGGGAAGTGATAAAATTGAATGGATTGGGGGGGGAGTGAGTCCTTCTTCGGGCATCTTCGGGGTTGATCTGAAGCCCGCGCCTTCGCCCGGCCCAGGCCTGAAAGGATCGTGGTGTGAGCGTGGTGTGATCGAGGTGACGTACGACGAACGAGAGGAAGAAGAGATGAGATGAGGATGTGAAGTCGAGATGCAAACTGCTGATGTCAGACTCGGAAAACGGGTGCATGTGACATGCAAGGGAGTCTCGGAAAAAGAAACATTCCGAGTCTGCTGAATTGTTGGGTTGAATTTGCAGAGTTCACAATGTTGTGGGATTGTCTCAGACATCCAGAAGTGAATAATTATGAATGGCACCAGTGGTTCGTACCCCAAATGGTGCTGCCAGCTCGGTTTTCTGGCAGTGCTTGTTCAAAGTGTTTCACTCGCTGACAGCAGTATACAGCAGTCAGTTGCGCTAATATGCCGGACATTTGGACGGTTCGAGAGCTGGGCGGTGTCTTCTAATTAGTGACATCGTGCTTGCAGCAGGTATGGAAAACTGTCCAAGTGTCAGTGTGATCAGATAACGAGCAGCTCCCTGCAGTCTTTGGGAGAAAATGAAGCTCTGTGGCAGCATGACGACCGCATCTATGCGTTCCAGGTTGAGTAGTTGATCTCACTCATGTGCTTTGTTGAGTTAAATATGAGTTTCAGTCATCCTGAAGCTGATAGGGAACAGGTCAGATTTTCGGATTAGATATGATTAGACAATAATAATATGTAAATTATATCTACTCCAGGATGGTTGTAGAGCAAGCCAATACTGCCCACGTATCATCTTCAGCCCACGCCGCCTTCAGTTGCTCGGATCAATTTTGGGCCACCTGGGCTCCGCCGCGACCCGTTGACTCTCACCGGGTCGCCGCCGGCGTTCGGCCGGACAGAGCCCGGGTCTCACGCGGTGTGCTTCCACCGGTCGGCGGAGAACCTCCGGTGTTGATGTTCCGGTCGGCTTGCAGGCGCCGATCTTGAGCTCTGACACCGTGAAGCAAAGGTGCGAACTTCGTTGGAAAACGTTGGACATATGACATATGGAGTCTCCCAGGGGAACATAGACCCAAACCCCATTGGCTTTTGGTGTCTCCCTATGAACAATACACACCCATCTGTTGGGAAACGCCTCCTTTCATCCGAAGGGTCGACCGTCACGCCTGTCACTCACGCCAGGTGTGAAAAGCGGTGGTTTTATGTCCGCTTTGGTGGGGACCCTCGGTGTCATCCCTCGGAGAGTTTCGAAGACGTTCGGTGCCTGACGTGCCTGACGCGCAGGTTTGTGCCATCTCGGGTGCCGCTCCAGAAGAGCCTGTCTTCTCACCCAAAACTGGGCGCCTGGGCGAGATTTGATCTGACTTGTGTGAAAGTAGGGAATCAGGGAATGAGGCTCCCAATAGAGATTCCTTGGATCCAGCCATCCTCATTCCCTACTTGTCGCACAAGTCAGTCATACGACCGCGACATGGCTGGGGCCAAACGGAGACTCCAAGTCGTGGGTTGGACTGGACCGACCTCTTCGTTCGCAAATAGAACAACACCGGACCTGCTTAGTGGACAGACACACTCGGGAAATGCGTTCGGAATTGATCGCTCCAAGCCCTGAAGAGGCCTAAGTGAAGGAATTGCATTGGGTAAAACATGTATAGTATGCAAGGTGATAGCCGAAGCAAAGGCCAGCGATTTGTTCTAGTGACCAAGGGGCCCAAAAGGAAGTAATTAAGTGGTGATCACAGCAAGTACGTCTGGCTGATCAGGCCAGATATCAGCACGGAGCTTGACCCTCTTCGTTGGATTACCAGTCAAGTCCGTGGGTGATCCCCCTGCATTGTAGAAAATATGACAGCACCAAAAGGCGACCTTTTGAATCCAAGGTGTTCACACTCTGACTCTGGTTTTCAGTTACACTCAGTTCCCACGTTGAGAAGGAAGGTGACAGAACTGCATGGCGAGAAGTCCAAGAACTTGTAGGTGCTTCAACAAAAATTGTTTCTCAAGTCTGCAGAAACGAGAGGCGCGCTGCGAGTCGGCTGCAAAGCTAAGCTGTAAAAACTCCGCGAGGTTTGGGGGAGGAAACGTGAAGGACCATGGAAACAAACCGATCGAATTGGACAGCTTGCTCAAAAGTTCATTTGGCAGGTACGTCCAGAAAGCGTCCTTTCTGGATTTCACGACTGGGCTATCACTGTCTTCGTTGGGCAGTGAGTGATAGCGGTCCACTGCCCCCCCTGCCTTGTGGAGTAGTGGTGGTGGAAACAGTGGCATTGAACCCTTTGGTACAGGGGGTGACACACACACGGTGCCGCTTCGCGGCGCTCGTGTGAAACACCTCAATAGTCACTTAAAAAGCCTTAGAAACAAAAGAAAGGAAAGACAGAAAGAGCAGCGCTAAGAGGGCAAGAAGGAAAGGTAGGTGTAGAAAAAGTGAATACTTAGCCCTTGACGGGGGTAGGGAAACGAGCCTCAAGAGCAACCTAAAAAGCCTGAGAGAAAGCCCAACAAACGAAAAGCGCAAGAAGGAAAGCGGGGGGCAGGGAGGGGGTGTATGTTCATGTGTGTGTACATGTGTGTGTCTGAATACCTAGCACTCTAGAGTTACTGATTACTTAGCAGAAATGAATTAAATGCAATAGTTAGGGAGCGGGACTTTAGTCTTAGACCGCCCGGGTAGGATAGACTAGAACAGGGACAACAAAGGGAAAGGCACCGACGCACAAGTGTGTCGAGTACCATTTCCCTGTGTTACCCTAATTAGGTCGGGATAAGAACGCGGTGGGGGGGGGGTAGGGAGACCTGCCTGAAGGGGGATGAGCCCGGCGGCTTGTCAAATCCCGTTTTTTGGCCCGGCGGCCGTGGAAGCAGTAAATTCAGTTAAGGTTGATCAAATGGTGAATTCCTGTGAAAGGTGGAAAAGGTCAGTTACACGATTTCCGGCATGAATTCAGCGCCCCAGTGACGGGGATCACACTCAGCACCCGAGTGGGACGGCTGAGCGAGACACACTCTGACTCTGGTTTTCAGTTACACTCAGTTCCCACGTTGAGAAGGAAGGTGACAGAACTGCATGGCGAGAAGTCCAAGAACTTGTAGGTGTTTCAACAAAAATTGTTTCTCAAGTCTGCAGAAACGAGAGGCGCGCTGCGAGTCGGCTGCAAACCTTGTGGAGTAGTGGTGGTGGAAACAGTGGCATTGAACCCTTTGGTACAGGGGGTGACACACACACATACACACACACGGCCCGGGGGTGGGCAGAAGTCCGTTCCACGATGAAGGTGCCGGCCGACACGGAGGTGAGACGGAGTCAAGAAAAAGATCCCGGTCTGAATTTCCACTAAAAAATCAAAGGGGCGTGCTGCAGGCTTATAGTTAAACCCTTTTTTCGCAGGAGATGATTAAATGTTTTGGGAGAGGATCACGGCTGGTCAAAATTGAGATCACGGTTTTATAGTAAACTGCGTTGTTCCAAAAGAAACAATTTCTCACAAACTTCTAGAAGACAAATTGACTTTATAAGGAAAAGTTGCCGGTGTAAAGTGTGGTTTTGATGTTATAGCACATGTTTTCCACATGGACAACTTAAAAGCTGATAGCTGTACAGCAAAGTGAGCTAGTACAACAATATGAAACTGATTTTATAAACACATTGAGTTTATAAAGAAATTCATGGCCACTTCTATATTTAGAGAAATTTTAACATATACTGTAGAGTGGTATTTGTGTAAACGCATTATTCATTGCATTCGTGTCTTTGATCCATTTGGTGTCTTTCCGATTTCTTTGTGGTGGCTGTTCAAACAAAAATCACTATAAAATCCCAGGGTAGAGTAACTCTGGCACACAGTTTTTGTAAATATGTTGTGGCTGTACAAACCTTTTATGGACCTGTGCACCCCATTACTATAGTGACTTCATTTGGCTGTCCTGTGAGCTAAGGATGTCAGGTTTGTTCCATATTATAGTTGTATTGATTTTATATAGTTTTCAGTGTGTATGCACGCTGCTGAAAATGACATTCTATAGTGTCACTCTACCCCCCAAACCCCAACCCTGCAGGTTAAGTGCTATAAGATGGGGGGACGAGTAACTATGTAAATTCCCGCGGGGATAAAGAAAATATATATGTCGTTCACTATGGTTGGGATAGGCGGGAGCATTACCACAAAAACCAAAACACCAAAAGGTGACCTCTGAACCCAAGGTGTTCACACACACGCCCCCCTCCGAGTGGGGGCAAAGGAAGGACTTGGAAGCCACCTCGACTAATTGTAGGCCATCGCTCTTAAGATGGAGGCCTTAGGATTGAGGCCTTCGCTCCTACATGGAAGCTATCGCTATTGGATGGAGGCCATATGTGCACGGGTGTGAAAACGGATAAAAAAGAGAAGACATGAGAAGAGGACAAGATCAGACAAGACAAAGGTATGTGGCTGCGACGAAAAGGAACCAAGTGCACAGGGACAACGGATGAGCCAGACCTCCTTACAACGACCTGGGCGACCTAAAACCTGGTTTACATGTACGAGTGCACCAGTAGGCCAAGGGCCCGACCAATGTGTGCGCAAAAGGGAAGAATAATGAAATGAAGGCAGAAAAGACTCGACGTGAAAAGAAAGAGGAAAGTAACTTGTAGGTGGGGGGATAGGAGAACAGAAACCAGCGCTGTGAGCGAGTGTATTTTTCAGTGTTTCTTATGCAGAGGAAAATCTAAAAGTTTTAAGTATTTCCCATGCACGGGAGAATATGTGAATACCAAAAATACCAAAGGCCCTTGGCTGGCATGAAACTGCCCCAAGCCCTGAAGAACCAGAAAGTGAAAAATATGAAACATTGCCTGGGAAATACAGGTCGTATGTAAGGTGATAGCCGAAGCAAAGGCCAGCGATTTGTTCGGCCGTGCCCAAAAGGAAGTGAGATCACCAGGTGCGACTGGTGGATCAGGCCTCCAACGAATGGAGCATCCGCCGGCAAATCCGTCCGTGGGTGATCCCCCTGCAGAATCCAATTTGTGTTCACACACACACACACATTGGCTCATCCGCCAGGGTGCTGACAAGGGAGCAAGCTAGAACTTAGACGACTTAGAAACCAAATGGTTGCGCGTGCAATTAAACCGCTGAGCGTGCGAACTCGTGCAAAGAATTGTTTGGTCACCCACCGCGTGTTGCGTGTTTGTTGGAATTGGTTCTCAATATTGTCCATGTGCAACACTGAGATTGTTGTACGCGAGTTTACGATCGCTGGAACTTTTGACGGTTTTGAGGCAAATCTATGAAAAACGGCTGATTGAGAAGCACATTTCGGAATCGGGAAAATGCCCGGTGACGAAAGAGGAACTTCAGCAGGCTTGGAATGGTGTGGAGTTTGTGTTTGCCAACCATTCGTGAGACTTTTTGTGCAGGAGGACCTTTGCGACATGAAGGTCAACAAGGTAGTCAAACCACGACCTGCATCAGCAACGTCCATTCCTGGCATGCTGACAGGGGCTGAGTTTGAATCAAGTGTTTGTAACAATTGTAAAGGATTCATGCATGAATGTATTCCAATGCATTCCAACCATTTTTTGCCAATGCTTACAGTCAGGCATACAGCATATAGGCATTGGCAGATATTCCACGTGATAAGGACCCTCTTGCAGAGCGAGTGGGATGCATTGATGTCTGAAACCTACGACCTGAAGACGCCACTGCCTCAAGTTTTGCGCTGAAAGTATTTTGTTAATCCGTTTCTTAATATCTTTGGTCTCAAGATAAAGAACACCCGCAAGTGCACGCAGCATGAGATTCTTATATAGATGTTTCGGTATTAAACAATATATATAGTGTTCATTGTTTCTGCCCACCAGTGGAATTTCAGACACCTTCCAGGATTCCAGACCTTCCACAATCTTCAAATCTGACTCTTCAGGAACCTGGACACGACTCGGAAGCAGCTCTCACATGCTCTCTACCAGCACGATGCTGCCTGTCGAGTCATCGCTCGACTGTTGAGAGAGCGGGATGCTGCTCGCTCACAGGCGACATTTCGGATGGTCGTCCAGGGCTAGGGTTGTGGCAAGTTGTAAAGAAAAATGGGGACATGAAAAGTGTAGATTTGACCTGGTTCCGGTTTTTCGAAGGTAAACAGGTAAGGTTAAAATGGTAGGTGAAGACTTCTGATATAGTAATACCCTAAGAGGTTCTATCCAAAGTTGCACGGCGGTACACTGAACACAGAAGCTGTCCCGGGATCGGCTTGTTCCTCCTTGCTGGTGGCTTTAGCCAAGCCGCCCCTGGCCTCGTCGCAAGGTGGCACAGCTGCAGGATCAGCTGAGCAACTCTCTCCCAACGAATGGCAGCGTTGAGATCCAAGAGGCCTTTGGAATGCCCGGGAGCATGCCGCTGTCGGAGCCGGGGAAGGGATGAAACGCTTTTTTGGAGTCAAAATGCCAAACAGACTGAGTGAGGGGCCGGATTCACGAAAGAAGCATTGGAAGTACAGTAGAGAAACGCTATAGATGTGGCTAGCAATGACTTCAATGCCTCTAAGACCTGTATCAACTTGTTGTGATTTGTTGTGATATATATATGACCGCGCTGTTGTGACAATCAAGTCGCCTGGGCAAGTGCTTATTGGAACGTTGCCTGGCCAGGGCGAAACGGGTCTTTCAAGCCAAATCGTTCAGAAGATGGAGGACAGAAATAGAGGCTCATGTCAGTCATGTCTCCCCACCTCACCTCGATCTTGGGATGTATATGGATCGATGTATAATACTGTATACTGCGTACGCTCCCATGTTCAGTTCAGTGGCAAGCTTTGCACCATCGAAGCTCCCTTCCGTGCTGTCATCGATCCCATGGAACTCGAGGAGCTCGCGCAGAACTTGGCCAAGACCCGCAAGCAGACCACCTCTCAGAAAAGACATTTGATCAGAAGAAGAACTTTCACTATCTTTCACTTCACTTGAGCACCTTCCGAGAGGAACAAACATGTGGCTGTGGGTTAAAACACCCGGACCCTTGAAGGTTGACCTTCTTTTAATCTATTCTGTTCACTTCCTGTGGTCAACCAGAGTCCCGGTTTCGACCCCCCATGACCCCCCGTGCATCAGAGCTTTCAAGACTTCCCCGCGACGGGCGGGGGAAAAGAGAGCCTCATTTCAGGCGCAAGTTCCCGGAGCTAAGCCCGCTTGAGGAGGTCAAAAGGCGGACTGTGTCTTCACTGCGACAGACTCCGGTCTTGGACAGCTACCCGCTACCCTCCATGTTGGTATACATGTACATATCATGAATACGATTATAGTTGTAATCTTGTATTGAGCCTTAATGGGCCTCAACCCAATCTCAAGTGTTCAAGTGTATATATATAATATATATGAATTTCAAGTTGCCCAAACTTGCTGCAGGCTCAAATGTGTCCAGTCGCACTCGCTCCACCATTCTACTGCACCAGGGGTGCTTTGTGTTGATATCCACAAGGCGCGTTCAGCCGCTGAAGATTTTGCGTTGTAAAAAGGAGTTGTTCTATGCTTTTCTTGGACTCTTGGCTTGTCTTGGCTCACAGTTTTTCGAAAAAGGGCCCGCAATCATCGCCTCATGGTTTGCCGCAACGGACACGATGTGGAATGATGGAGCGATGTCACGGGCAGTCGATGTGAGAAGCATGCATTGGTATTCTCATTACCGCCACACAGTCTTCAACATGGTGCAATCGTGCTTTGAGGATGATGGCGCTGCAGGTGAGCAGCGTTCTATATAAATGCATCCTTTCTTTGTTTGTCAGGGACCAGCGAAAAATCAGTGAACATAGTGATTTTAGCTGATGTTTGTAAGGTGTCCGCAAGGTTTGCCGTAAGGATGTGCAGACTTGAACGATGCGCGCAAGGCTACGGGAATCCTTTCGTGTTTTGCAACAACATAATATCATATGTGACCCTAGCGGACTTGCATACCTCCGCCGTAAGCACAACGTAAGAATAGCCATGCATGTGTCACCGTGAGCAAAACATAGAAAAACGTAAGCTTTGCGTAAGGCTTACCTAAGGTTTGATTTCTCGGCAAGAAAAGACTGACAACACAATTTTGAACACCGCTCAGGGGTGATCCTCATTGGCATCCAGCCAACCCTGAAGAATACGATGACCTGCGCCGAGTGGCCCTGCATTATGCAGGACTTGCAGACAGCCTTTGAGGAGGAAAAGGCACCTTTTTACGATAAAGGTGAGCAGAAACTGAATTTCAGCCGAATCAACTTCAAGCGAATTTCGATTGAAGACCTTGGCGATGAGCTGGAGGTGAGCACGAGGCGCAATAAGCACGCAATCATCGCCTCGTGCTCGGAAGACCATTTTAAAGATGCAGCGGCAGCCATGAAGCTGCACAACAGCTCCACGCCAGCCGGCTGCGGGAAGGTCCGAAGGGCATGGGCGACTGCGGAGGACGTTTATGGTGGGCGAAACCATCCGCCAAAGGCGTGCGGATATGCGCCACAGGACGTGATGTCATTGAAGGCTGCACAAGCCGAGCCTGAAAGTCTATCAAAGGCTCCGAAGACTCTTGTTGGCGTGTCTGGCCTGTGCACATCCCTTTTCGATGTGACCCTGAGCAAAGAG